TGTTAGATTTTATCCTTATAGTCATGAACTTGGTCGGCAAGCCTTCTCCTTGTTATGATCATAAGTCAACGTCATCCCGCCACAATGGGATATCCCGGCTGTTATTTGTCAGCGAGTGGCAGGTGAAACCAGAGCATGCTACGTTATCAATTAAGGTAAGTGGCCAGGTGTGCCTTTGTTGTGCTAGTGGCAGGTTCATGATTACATGAACCATTAATCACCTGATCTCATCCTCCCCAAGGCGGAATCAAACACGGCTTCGGCTCCAGGAAATATTGACTTTCTGGAAGGCTTTTATTATTAGAACGAAAAGAAGAAATGTTTGTAACAAACTCAGATTTCTAATCAATTCAGGCACAGCAAATTTTTGCGTATTAGTACATGTATTTCTCTGTCAATGTACTTTGGAAGTGGAAGAAATACACTAAAAACATGACTTCAGGCTCCAGGAAATACATTGTATTGACTTTCTGGAAGGCTTTTATTTTTAGAACAAAAAGAGGAAATGTTTACAACAAACTTAATCAATTCAAGGCACTTTTTCTGTATTTGAATTTTCCCTGTCATCGCATGTTTGAGTTGGAAGAAATAGATAAAAATATTTAATATGATTAAGAAACAAATGCAAAAATAATATATTTTTCTTCTTCATTTTTGCAGACAAATTCAAACCATTTCATAAACACTTGTCTCTATATACTAGTACTTGCTCACTGAAAGACTACAATGTCACTCAATGTGTCGATCAAAAAACTGGCCAAGCCGACTGAGCTGATTGGATTACGAGGGACACTCAGGCTGATTTCGGCCAATTGAGCGCCATGAAAGAAACTGGAATTGACCTTGTTAGTTCTGCTCAGTGGACCGCTTGGTCCACAGTTAACAGAGCGGAAACTGCATGGTCATATTTAACCTTATAAACGTGTCAATATGGCTGCCTTTAGACAGGTTAATTACCTTGTAAAACATCAAAACAGCCCCCTTTCTGTTCTCCAAAAAAGACAGTGAATGCTTCTTTATAATTTTTTTTTCTAAAATATAACAAAACTCATGGACAAACTAGATGACTAATAAATGTTTGATAATTTTTTTTTTTTTTACAATTTTGGAATTCTCTGACCTGGGTTTAATAGTTATTCATAATAGCAAATGAACTTACTAGAAGAAGTATAAGTTTTTCCATACAGTTGTCTGTCTTCTATTGTATTGCACTGAGTAGTATACTTGATTATAAAAGCAATAAGCCTTCGGGCATGACTTTGCAAATAAAGTTTCATTATATGATGTATAACCTTTCCCAAAACTTCAGCAGAAGTTAGCTGTTGTTTTGGACAGCTTGCTAGGGTAATCTTCAAGATCTGAACTGAAGGCCTTGCCAGACACTATAAACTGCAGACAATCCCAGCAATTTAATCACAATGCTCTTCTGGTATTCACACGCGCTGGCACCCTGATTCTACAGTCTGTTGTCTGCGGCTAAGTGCTGCCTCTTTGGGCAGTGTCTGCTCTAAGCCTGGCAGGTGGTCGTTTGTGAGGGTAGCAGAGCAGAAAGGGCAGACTACTACTGTCACTTATAAATACACATGGCTGCTCTTTAGCACTGCCAACACATCCAAAACAACAGTTCGAACTTTCGAATTTAGTCTCTACTTCACTCTGAATGGGTTGCTGGATAGAAAATTCGTAAAATCTTCATTGCCTATCAACCTGTATCAGCTCAGACCAAGCTCCATGTCACTCCACATAGCCCTATTTCTCTAAATTATCAGTATCATGTTTAATTCTAGTATCCCTAACCAAAGTATCAGTAAAAGCCAAACTTCTTCAATGCACTGTCATTTGCTTTCCATAGGACCATGGACCTCCATGATATGACAGATGAAATTATTCCTTGCTTGGCTCGACTGCAATGCCAGCAAAATATTAAATAGTACACCAGAGATGACAGCTGGCCATAGTAATATACTCCGAAAAGTACGGCTGGCTATATACACTCTTCCTTATATCTGCTTGGACTCTACCAGCACTCCATACTGTCCTGTAATAGTCGTATGCAAATGTCCTGTGACAGGATCTCGTTAATTAGAGGTCTTCATCAGTGATGTCTATTCATTAGTCCCCTTCCACCAGAAGGTCCGGCCACCTGAGGCTAACCCCCCCTAGGGAACTCCTGATACAAGCCACATGGCAGGTAGGAACACTGGTGGACAGATTGGCCTCCTTGTTGCTCATTTACGGAACAATGCGGAAGCGACGAACAATAAAATCCTCCAAGAAACACGTGAACACATGTCAGAGATGAGATACACTTTGCATAGAATAGTGTTGTAGATCAAAACAGTGTTTTTTTTAAACGTTTCCCTTTATCTATGCCATTTAGTACTTGAAAGTCTGCTAGAAAGCAGGGGGGAAAGTATTTCCAGATTGGTCTTGTTAAAACAGCATTTAGCACTAGTGAGGAATTCACAATTCCCTGGGTACTGACTCCTGGGACAAGAGAAGGAAGTATTTAGACTACCATTGACTGAACATCCAGCAGAAAACACACTGGCCTTCCTGTACAGCCTGCCATATATCTTACAGGAGCAGAGGGAAAACAGATTGTTGTGAAAGCTTGTGGTTTCCAAGCGTGGCATCCATGATTTCACGGTGAAAGTGCCCGGTGAAAGTCGGGCCTCCCGCCACCAGCTGCCTGTGTTGTGATGAAGGCAGTGGTCCCACATTGTTGTCCCTGGAACTGAACGCAACACCTGGCACACTGAGATGCCGGCTGTTGTTCTGTAATGAGGGGAAATACTGACCTAACTCGTGACAGAGAAAAAATTGGGATGGAACCAGCAATTTACTCAGCGAATTTCTGGTCCACGAAGACAAAAACAAGCTGCCAGGGGACCAAAGACCTACTGTACCTCTATACCAAACGTCAAGACAATCCATCATATAGGGTTTATACACACAGACGGACACACACACGAACGCTACCAAAAACATATTCTGGCCAAAGGTAAAAATAAGTCCAGAAATAGGTATTACCTATGTGTGAAGGGCTCGGTGATAGTTTAAAACTAAGCTACTGGCAGCCTTTCACCACACACACACAGAATTACCTCCTTATAACTTACCACCCCCGCCACTAATCCTTTCCTAAACGTTGTCGTTTGTTCTCCGCACCTCTGGACAACTGTTACAGTCGTGGGGGTATCGATTCTTCTCTGACTTAAAAACGCTATGGTGGAAAAGGTGGAAAGGATTTGGGTGAAATGCCTATTGGTTGTTTTTTAAGCCCCATTAATGCATAGGCCACCTGAGTCCTAAAAACCACTTATATCCTTGTTCACACCACGGTCTCAAAGTACCAGACTTCATACAAGGATTTTACGGATGTCGATACCTTTATGGCGCAGTAACAATGTTGCCAAACACTTTATGTAACAGGCCAAGAGGGTTTTTAGAATTCAATAGTGAGGTTATATGAAATGCTGGATTTTAATACCCAATGGACGTTGGAAAATCTGAAGTAAATGAAATGACGTTCTGTAATAATGAAATAGAACAATTAACTGTCCTCTCTTGCTACTATATTCCCAGAGCAGATATTCAATATCCATTAAATCATGAACCACTTGATCAGCAGGCCAGCTGGGTACCAGGAAGAGAATAAACAGTGCCACATGTAGCTACTGTAGATCGGAAAACTTTTGCCCTGGTTTTAATTTCATTGTGACCACTCCCTTATGAATTCATGTCACCACAAATACACCTTCCTTGAATAACTATTGTACTACAGAATTATATCAACCAGGAATTTAAAAAACACAGTAAAAAAACTCTTTTCCCCCTACTGCAAACTGTTTACACTGTGAAATTAAAATGTATTTACAGTATGGCGGCCTGAAAGCAGACATCTATTTTTCTTCACATGAATCATGACTTTAGCAAGCACTCTATAGGATCAGCTATCATAGATGTTGTTGGAGACTTTTAGTTTTGAGAGACTAACTTTCAGACAATAAAATGCAATAGAGACAAGCATCCCATTCAGTGTATATATAGAGCAGAATAATACTGCTATAAAATTAGTTACTATAAATGATCATAACATTAACTTATCCAGTGGCAACAGGAAATACTCCACGTTATAATCACAAAGAAGCCATACTTCTGTCAACCAGGATTTTTATGGTATAAAATTGGCAAGACAATATCAAATAGGCAGGCAACTTATCTAGGGGAAAAAAGATACCAGTACAAAACAAGAAAGCCTGATAAAAATGCCTAATATTAGTAATAATAAGAAAAACACATAAGATACAGATATAAGCTGAAGCCCAACCTCTGCTTGGAGAGTAAGAGAAACAATTTAGCAAAACACCATGTGTGTGCAGTCACACAGGAAGTAATGCAGATGCCAAGGGAAAATCTTACAATTCTTTGCCTGCCACGCTGAGATAGTGGGAGATAAACAGAACAGATGTGCAAACAGTGATTAAACTTTTGCCCTTGTACGTGATGGTAGATAACACGTTCTACTAATCTCCAAGCAGATCCCTCTCGGTGGCAAAAAGACAGTATCAAATTAGCCAGGCAATATCCATTGGATGGTCCGCAGCCACTGAAGGGTTGGTGGGGGTAGCGACAAAAAAAAGGCCATATATAAAAAGCTAAGGATCATTCCCCCCAAAACCTCTGCTTAGAGAGTAACGTTCTACGTGATGCATGGAAACTAGGAAAGAAAAGATCTTACAAGAGTTAAATACTGTTGAGGAACAAAGAACGATACAAGGGCTTATAATTTACAGCTAGCAACAAAGAATACCACTTCTGGTTATCACATTTTGAGGTAGACATAACACAAAGGGATAAATTGGCTTTTGATGGACATTTCACAGTAGGTTTAGTGCAATCTTTACAAACAAATAAAACCAGCCAAATTACATTTCCCTATTAGGCCGCATTCATATCCTGCTGCAAATACAAATTTAACGTTATTGCGTATGTACGGGCACACAAAGCCGTGAGTCTGTCCCACCTGTTTCCAGTGACAACGCTCCCATACACAGTTCCCAGTGCAGTGCCTCTCACCAGCAACACTCTCTCTCTCTCTCTCTTCCTGAGTAGTCTGTCTACGCAGTCCACAAATTTCACTCTCCAAATTGTCTGCTCTCCTTGCTTCTAGCTGCAGGACTCTGAATTATAGCGTATCCAGCAAGTAGACTTCGAGTAAGAACAGAAGAATTCACACGCTGTTGTTTTGGATGTTGCAGTGGTTCAACCAACACATGGACAGATGCAGCACTACCAACCTAACCCTCTGGCTGCCACTGGCCTTTGTAAAACCTGCCGTTTACTCAATGGACACCAGATGAATTAAAGCGGGAGATACCACCACAGGGGATTTCATGGGGGTGGGTAGGATCTACCACTTATGATGAGAGGGGGGAACCAAATTACTGGTACTTAAAGTAGATATAATAAAATCAACCTTAGTGTGGTACGTCAAGTATATACACAAGGTGAATTTTTCTCTTATTAATAAGGAAATAATTTGATGAAACTACAATATTGCTATTTCTTTAAAAATGGTATCCCCTGAAAAAGGAAGCCATACAATATACATAAGCATGACAGGAGAAGACTAGTCAGTAGTGGCTAGCTCATGAATGTGTCTCCTTTCCATAACAAAACACCCCAGTCCAACCCTGCCCCAAAAACACAATAGTCTCCCCCAACCCTACATAGTTCACTAACAAAAGGACCAAGACAATGCTAGCTGACAGCTCATGTGCCAGCTGCTATGACTGGGTTAGGAGGATGACCAAGTTATTACTGATGTTACATCTATATTAAATTAGTGTAACTGTCAGGGGAATATCATATGGCTGTGGAGACTAGCGCTGGGAAAAATTACACCCCAAAAGAATCTTCAACTCTCAAACTCAGTCTTGGTAAACAGATAATAATATGTAGATACATAGAAGAGTAAAGTTACATCTTAAATTGTAATATTTTACCACAGATTGTACATCATCAAAACTCAACTTCTGTGTTTTGATATTGTTAGTTATCATTTTGAGTCTTACTTTCAAATTGATTTATATTAAGTAATAAAACCATTTGTGACACTAAAACACATCTATTACTTCTGGGGAGTCTCAAGAACTGGAAAGGTTTAATATTTTCCTGTTCCCTTTCACTGACAGGTGAGCCTGGTTCCGTTATAATTTCGTAGAAAATGTGCTGATGACTAAGTAATCAGGAGTAATTACAAAGCCAAGTATGACACTTGAACATGAACTTCTTGGGAGTCTCAAGAACTGGAAAGGTTTAATATTTTCCTATTCCCTCTTGCTGACAGGTGAATCTGTTTCCGTTATAATAATTTCGGTAAAAATCTGCTCATGACTAAATAATCAGGAGTAATTACAAAGCCAAGTATGAGACTTGAACACATACTTCTTGGGAGTCTCAAGAACTGGAAAGGTTTAATATTTTCCTGTTCCCTTTCACTGACAGGTGAGTTGGGTTCCGTTATAATCATTTCGTAAAAAATATGCTAATGACTAAGTAATCAGGAGTAACTACAAAGTATGACACTTGAACATGAACTTCTGGGGAGTCTCAAAAACTGGAAAGGTTTAATATTTTCCTGTTCCCTCTTGCTGACAGGTGAGTCTGGTTCCGTTATAATTTCGTTGAAAATCTGCTCATGACTAAGTAATCAGGAGGTGACACAGACACAAGGCGGACCGCTATGCCCCCGGGCCTTCCAGCTGCAACCTGTCTGCATGCTTTGTTGTCAGACTAATAATAGGCAGGTGTGACATAGGTGTGTTGTCTGAAGCTGATGTACGTGTGTTGTTATAATTCTTAAAATAAACTAGTCTCCACCGGACTTCTTTTGTAGGCTGAATAAATCGTAGAAATCGTAAAAGGGATATAATTGGCCAGAGGAGTTTGCTGGCCAGATAAACTCCTCAGGCTAATTATATGCCCTTTTTGATTTCTACGATTTATTCAGCCTGCAAAAGAAGTCTGGTGGAGACTAAAAATAAACCATGAACAGACTACAGTAACTTAAACATCAGCATTTCAAATAACCATGTAACAAAGGCTTTCACTTGCCCACTTGGAAAAAGTAAAAAGAGGGCATGTGTTTATGAACTGTTTATATTTGTCATCACCTATATCCTGATCGCACGATAAGCGTTATTTAAAGCACTGTACCCTCAGGCAGAGTCTGGAAACAACCGGTACTAATTTTACTGTACTTTGTTTAATTTTACGGTATATGGGACAAACATTATGCTTGACTGAAGGACATAAAAACTAATCTCCAAGCAGATCACATGGTGGCAAGGCAGTATCAATTGGCAAGAATACTAGTTTGGTGGCCGTACAAACTCCTCTGGCTAATGGATACTGTCTTGCCACCGAAAGGGTTTTGCTTGGAGATTAATGCTTACGGTTTCAATGGAGATTAATAAAACCTTGATGACTTACACGTACATCAAACAGTGCAGTGATATTTTGGTTATCTAGAACAAGTGTCAGAGGGGGAGCACTGTACCTAGAAACACTGGTACTAATTTTACTGTACTTTGTTTAATCGTATACATAGGACAAACATATTGCTAAGTGACTGAAGGATATCAAAACCATGATGACTTACATTCTACAGAATAGTGATATTTCCAGTTATCTAGAACAAGTGTCAGAAGGGGGGGGGGCATGATCACCAGTCCCAGCTGGTTGATGAATGAGGCTGGTGTCAGTGTGAGGGTGCTACTGCATTACACACATGTGGTGCAGATTAGCAGAACAGAAGGCACAATAAAACTGGACAGGTACACCCCAGAAACGGCTGAATGTGTCAGTGCTATAAAAGCTATGTACTGCATTGTGAATTGTGTGCATAGAGGATGTAGAGCAATAGAGTCTATCTATAACTTCAACAAGAAAAGAGGTCTCCATGTATTGATGATTTGCGCATGTTCATATTACTAGTATTTGCCATTTTGTCCAGGTCATGTCCCTGGCTACTCAGACAAATAGGGATATAATGGTCAGTCAGTTATGACTTCCATACTTAATGATTATCATCCCAGATCAATAGTGATCAATGCAACACTTCCCATTATCATACATATAAAAGTATACCTGTAACCTCAGCTGTAAGTATATCATATACTATACTAGAAATGTACTAGTATATTAAAGTATATATGACTCGCAATGGTTTGGAAAAAAGGTTATGATGTTGGTTGACTTTTTGCATGGAAAACTAGTGGCAGTGCTTCTATTCTATAAGTATTTTGCAGAAATCATAACACCGCAAGTATGTACCTTTTATATTTTCTGTGTATTACTGAATTGCTTCCACTACATTTACCTTAAAAGGCCACAAAAATAAAAACTGCCACAAAGGTGAATGCATGTGGTTTTTGTGGGATGAAAATATAACATTAACAGAAGAGTGACCCTCACAAGATTTGCTTCTTCCTGTCTCCTACCAAGTTAGCACAACAGATGGCAAGGAAAACAGAGGAGAAAGTGTCTGAAAAGGAACTTTCTTTTCTTTGTTCCCGCCTGTGCCAACTGTTATGTATATCAGTGGCTCCTATGGGGGAATGGCAAGGTGCCATGCCATGCTGGGATAAGTGTACGTTAGAACGCTCCCCCCCCAAACGCCACGGCTCCCAAACCCCGATCTTTTTCTCACAACGCGACAAACAGATGTTTTCAGCTTGGTAAACTGTGAATAAGGCACGGGTGGTTGGGTGTAGCCTCTACCAGGCTTTGCGGGAGGCAGCTGGAAAGAGTAGTAATTGGTCAAATAGAGAGATAACATTTCAGGGGAGTTGGTCAGCTGGAGAGGACAATTTGCCGCATCCCAAAGCTGTACTCTCTTGCTGACGAACTCCCCTGATATGTTATCATCTCTCTAGTATTTGGCCAATTTTTATATTCTCCAAGCAAGGGTTTGGCCTTTGGCTTATTTTTGGCATGTTTATAGACTTTTTTTATCAGGGTTTCTCTTTTTGCACAGGATTTTTTTACGCCAAAAAAGAAACCCTGATAACAAAGCCTAAAAACACGCCAAAAATAAGCCAAAACCCAAACCTACATGTATATATAATGCTAGGAAATTACAATTTCTACTCTTTCCTGCCGCCTCCCGAAGCCTGGTTGAGGCTACTTCGGTGTACTGTCCTCAGAAGCCAGCAGCATGCGTGCGGCACTCTGGGCATCCCGTCAGGAGGTGCCGAAAACCACTGGGATAAACACAGGTTGGACCTGTCAAACACCTGGTCCCAAAAATTGTCCGCCACCTCCCAGTTTCCCCCCTACTCCAACAGATGTATCGTGGTTAGGCCACACCAATTTAATTTGTTGTTTCTCAGATTTTTTCAGAAAAAATATGAAGCAACAGGGCAAAAAAAATAAAAAAAATAAAAACAGGTCTAGGCATCCTATTATGGCCCAAAATGCTTACTATAGGAGCCATGAAGTCAACCCACTAGGCTGGTTAAAAATTTAAACAATGAATTTTGAACTTTTAATGATACCACTGCATTGAAAGATGGAATGACTGTAACAAGTAGTAAGAAAATGACTGTTTTCATCTGTTCAGGGCAAAATATGAGCATTTTGCAGTTGATTCTAAATTTTTATTTTTATTTGCATATCAGAAAAAAATGAAGCGGCGAATCCGTTAACCAAGAAATTAAATTGGTGTGGCCTTAGGCTATCCCTACCAAACACAGCTGCCGTGTGACAAGACACACACAGCCTCTGTTGCCATGGTGACGCACAAAGGTGTGTGGACCACGCCCTACACCTATTCTACCTGGTCCAGCAGGTGAGAATAGAGCGAGGGAAGGTGTGAAAGCCCTTGCAGACGCGATGGGCAGATGTGAGAGGAGAGAATGGGTGATTAGAGGTGTTAATGCACAGTGTCTGCCTGCAGCATGTGGCTTGTGTGAGGTAACCTGTAATTTGGTGCAGACCTTACTATTATCTCAGTTGAAATACATTTGCATACAAGAGGTCTGCTCGCAAAGTCATTTTTTCTGGTTGGACATTTTCACCACTCCAACTTCTTGAATGAGCATGTATATGCTGTACAGTATCTACAATTTACAAATACAGCCTTGCAACAAATACAAAAGAAATATACACAAACTTACAAAATACTGCAAGCCAGAAGGGGGCGAGTATTTTAGAATTTATGCGCCTAAAATCAAAGTACATTGATTTACTAAACAAAAATTGGCCGTTCAATTTACTTCCCATACTGTTTTAGCAAGGAGGTTAAATACAAGTTTTAGCAAAGAATGTCTCCAATTTTCGTTAACCCAAGG